TGGTGCCTGGCGTGACCCAGGTTGGAGTCTCCGAAGAGCAGACTGAGACGAAATTTAGTGTGCAGGGTGTCTACTGGGAAGTACCCTTGGTATGAACACCCATGGAAGGGAGGAAATGAAGCGGCATGGGGGAGAAGGAGAAGTCACACTGTGATACAGGTCCTACAGCCTCAGCCAGCCCCATGGGAAGCTTGAGTGCCAATGGCCCACCCAAGTTGCACTGTGTTGGGCTGAGAAGGCTGAGAAGGCTGAGCCTTTATATTCCCCGCATCAGTCACTGAATGCGCACTACTCTCCCCTTCGCTGGCCATGACCTTGGGCAAAGTGGCTCTCCGCATCTGGGGCAATCCATGAAGTGACTGACAGTGCGGTCTGTCCATTGACTGCACTCCCAGCAGCTGGCGCAACAAATTCTTCCTTTAAGGGTATCTAGGTAGCATAACTCCATTGTTCAACATGGGGGCCGGGGGCTATGCGGCATTTGGAAAATAGCATCAACAAATTACAGATGCTTGTATAAAAGTGAGGTCCTTAAGGACAAAAGCAGAGTAGTGGAGATAAGAATAAGCCACAGGAACAGTAAAAAGAACTCTATATGAATGATGGAAAGCTTTCTCACTTTTAATCCCCCAGATTTTTGGAGAGGTTGGATTCTAGTACCTGGAAGCTCTTTGTTTAATGAAATTTGTGATGGGTGGGGTTTGTAGTGAAGGTGTAACTTGGGCAAAATCCCGAGTATTCTGCATAATAAGGGTCACCTCACAAGGTGGAAATAGAAGCCAGTCACAGACAGTGCCATTCAGAAGGGGCAGGGGAGAATCACAGCTAAGAATTTAGGGGAACAAAAATGGCTACCATCGTACCTTTGATGTGCTTGGCATTTCTAAGTGCTTTGCATGTATTACCTGACTTAATCCTCACAACATCATAACAGAGTAGTTGCCATGATTTCCCCCCTTTTAGAGACAAGGAAATTGAGGCTGAGAGAAGTTAGTTTGCCGGCATCACTCAGTGAGAAAGTGCGGAGCTGGGATTGGGACCTGGACAAGCAAGATCTCAACTCTGGGGCCGGTGTTCTTCATCACCCTCTCCCCTCTGTCTCTGTAAACTTTCCAGTGCTTTTGATACAAATGGTGTCTATCTTAGGAATTCAAAGAGGTGTCATTTTTCATCAAGGCTGAGACAGGGCAAAAACAGGCTGTGTGGTATGCAGGGAAAGCTAACACCCAGGTTGCACGTAGGTATTTTGAAAAAAGGTGAACTGCGAACCAATACCGCAGGCCTTTAGTTACAAAGCATGATGCCAGCATAAAGTAAATATGAGTCAACAGGTAGGGCTGTGTGATGACTGTTCCACTCTACTCGAACTTCTTCACACCCTTGGTGTGAGCAGTGCTCAATTCCACAAAGCTGAGCAAGAAGGAAATAAAGGAAAAGATTTAAAGGAGAGCTGCCAATGAGCATCCACAGGTTGGAAGAGTTCTCCGGCCTATGTAGAGCCTAAAGAGGCTGGGGGAAAATATCATATATGGGGATCTCGAGGATATGCACACAGTGGTCAGAACACATATTTTAAAGCCAGATTGTCTGGGCTCCATCTCTGCTTTACCACTTGCTTCTTGGGTGTTCTTGTCACTTTATACTTTTCTGTGCTTCAGTCTCCTGTCTGTTAAGTTGGGGTAACTGTACCACTTCACGGGGTTATTGTGAGAATTAAATCTGTTAATACGTGTAAAGCACTTAGAACAGCTTTAGTAAGTACTCAGTAAATAACAAAATACGGACAAGGGTGAAGGACAACTTACTACATATTCAAATATAAAAACCTTTGTAGGGCGCATTTCCATCTGTGCAGCACAAAAACATCAGAGGAAGTCCATTTAAACGACAAGAGAGTGAGAACGGATTTTGCCCGTGAAGACACGGATAGGCCCGTTGTGGGCGAACGTCCTGCGGAGAAGGAAGTAGGGCAGGGGCAGGCTCTCCTCTTGGGTCAGCCTAAGAATGGCGGCCTCTGAAAGCGGGAAAACGCTCGGATGTTAGGTCTGAAGCGGCGGTACACATTGCCCACCACACCTCACTTGCCCAAGACACAGACTGAAACTAGAGAAAGCTCAGTGTTCTTCTGAGGATCTTACAACAAAGAGTAGCTATTATCTATGAAGATAGTGCCTGGAGTTTTGAGAACTGTTTCCCTTTTTTCAGCATAGAAAACACAGAGGGAAGAAATCAGAACACCTTTGTAGCAGAGCTACAAAAAGGGCTGGCTTCGGTCAAATTTATCTAGACAGAGTCATGACCAGGACCCAGATTTTAGAACATTAGTATTATTTACATTACCTTTAATTTCCTTTCATTGATTAAAAAAATGGATTAACCAGTTTAGCATCACATTATAGATATAGGCCTTTATATATTTGAAGATGTATTCAGATGTTCCTTAACCATCTCTGCTTATTCTTTGGTCTGATCTCAGCAAATGGCCATCCCACCCCAGCCCATTAAATAGGTGACCTAGCCAAGGATGTGTAATCATGCTTTTTTCAGGGATCATCCAATCAGATTCGTGCCTGTGGTGTGTTACAGCCACAAAGGGGAAGTGACTAAGGTACAGCGAACCCTAAGAAGAGGGGCAGAGGGAATGGCTGCTGAGGTCTCCATCCGGAACAGTCTTCCCAGTTCCTGTATTTTCCTGTCTTGGGGTCGGAGACATAGAGCCTTACAACACCCACCCCAACCCTCCCTTTTGTCTTTTGCTCGTTAGACAGGGTTTTTATTTATAATCAAGCAATCCTTGGCTAAATACGTGACTATCTCTACTTCAAACTGCTAAAAGTCAACATAAAGACACGCAGAGTTTAGTCTACCACTGTGTGCTTAGTATTTTTGGGAGAGAAGATACTTGAGATAAACAGAAAGATGTTTAGTAATACAGCATTTTGAAGAGTCCTCTGTAAAGGATACTAATAATTCTCTGTGACTTCACATTCAATTACCAAACCTGGTGAATTCCACTTCTCAGATATCTTACTCATCTTCCTTCCACACCATCTCTTATCTGAACTATACTATGGGAAGACATAAGGAGACTCGTTAGCTCTTTTAAGAAAATTCAAATTCCACATCTTGTTGTGGAAAACCTCAGGGCCTCCAGTTTTGTCTCTTAAGAGTCACCTTCCCCTTGGGGCTCTCTCACTTAGGATCCTTGTGTGCTTCCCCAGAAAAGGACTGGTTTCCTTGCTCCACGTGAATTGGTCCCCTTTGTCTTAAATTACAAATAGCACCATTGATTCCAGGATGAAATAGTCATAAAAGCTTTAGAAAAAGGTTCAGGAATAACAGGAAAAACAGTCAGTAAAACACTGTGAAAGATACAACTTACCTATTCCAGCTCACTAGGAAGGGCGTGCAGTTTTTATTCAACAAATACGTGAGCACTCTGTGTGACTGTCACTGTGTTATCAATGACACGCCTGCTCTCAAGAGGCATGAGGTCGTGGGAGTGAGCTAACTGCTGTCTGAGGTGATGTGGGATGAGTGAGAGCAGAGAGACAAGGCAGCTAGACCAGTGTTGTGGGAAGGGAAATAGGGAAGGTCTCAGTGAAGTTGTCTAAAAAACTAAGGCCTTAAGAAACAAGAAAGAATTAGCAGCGCATGAGAATGGGGAAAGGCAGAGGGCAGGGAATGCAGCATTCCAGAAGGTTCCAAGCCTGTGCAAATGGGAAGAGTACAATGTGTAGATTTTGAGGGGTTTCTCCTTTGTATGCTCAGGCGACAGGCTGTATCCCTCCTACCACATAGAGGAGTCCGCAAGCACACCGGGTCTCTTTTCTGAATCTAGGCCAAAGAGAGGTCAAACTTAATAGGAGTTTCCTCTTTCCAGTCAATGGCAGCTTGCTCACTTGGGTTTCCCAGACTCAGGACTCATGTCTTCATTCCAAGTGGCTAATGCCAGTATAATCATACTGTAAAATTATGCTTTATGACCTTGATGGGGACAATATGGCAGAACAGTCATTACTTTTCTGCGTTCCATGAGAAATGCTTCCTTCCACTGCCGACACAGGCCACTTTCCAAAGCAGCAAGGTCATGGGAAAACTGGGTTTATCTTCAGCTTAGGCATGGTCTATGCAAACCCTTTCTGCTACAGTTCTCCTTGCAGAATGAAAGTCAAGTTACTTCTGTCTCTGTTTTGAGGACTGAAAGTTTAGAAAACTTCAGTAACATGTAAGGAAGTCATTGAAAGGAAAGCATTTAGGTTTCTAGATATGTGTATGACTAGTACTGTACTGTGGTTTTCCCTGTGTTTTAATGTTGCCACCCTAAGTCACAATGTGACTAATTTCTAGAGACCCTACTCCCTATTTTCACGCTGATGATTAAATTTTCCCTGGCAAAAGAATGGTTACATAAACAGACAATAGAATATTTTAGGCAGCAATGACCTCAAACACAGATGTTCTTGAGCACGCATTCTCGATGGGGGCAAAAAACTATTACGCTCCATCTGTATAAAGCACAAAAATGTCCACGATCCCTAAACAGATATACAGAGTATGTGTGGTATCACATTTCATGGGGGTAGATGATTAGAAAAAAATATATCTAAAAAGGCTCTTCAGGAGATGAGAATTAAAAATTTCAGAAACACTGATACAGATTCTTTTGTCAAATTAGGAATACCTAAATTAATTCCATTTTAGTGATAATTCAAAATCCCGGGATAAAATAGAAAATCATGGTGATTATACTTTTAACCAATGTACTTGTGAAGGGACCCATCCAATTCTGTGGTCTTTATTTCTCCTAGCAAGTGTAAAGAAAACTCTAGGATTAATTTTTAAAAGTTTATGAATCGTTAAGTTTACAACACATACAGAAAGTACAAACTAAGAAAAGTAAATTTATTTAAATTACTAAAATAGCTTTTAAAGTCATTTACAGATCAGCTGCTATAATTATTTTTCCTGAAAGGTAAGTAAAATTAATTACTTTAGAATTATTTTGGTCAGTGAAACATTTATTAAAAACATCTGTTTCTCCATATAATATATAGATATAAAATAAGCCTCTTCAAAAACTCTTATTTTAGAATCCTCTATTAATCAGATCATTTGACTTCTGGCTGGAACAAATTACAATAAGGGGTATAAATTTATGAATACAGGTGGTACTAGCGGGAAGAAGACCGCACACTCTACTACTGGTCATGAGATACACAAAAGGTAAATCGTGAAGCCAATAACTGGCTCTAGATTTCTAAGAACAGTATTTTCAGTTAAAGGTTTGTTGATAATTAAAACAACAAGGTGACGTTAGAATTTTAAGATTCTAAAAAAAACACAAAGCAGTTGATAGATGAGAAAGCTATTACAGATGCAAAGTTACCACTGAAATTCCATAGTACAGTAATGTATAATAGTACATTTTAACATTCTGCATATATGGTAAAGTTCACTTTCTTTTTGGCTTGAGGCACTCTTAATAAAATTTATCAAGTGCATAGAAAAATCTTTATACAGTATTTGTTCTAGGAGTGTCACTAAAGGATTTAGACTGTAACTAGCGGACACACAGAAAATTAAATCCTTTAATAGCCCAGGAAACCTGGTCAACAAATGGCTTACCAATTCCTGAACTATATTCCTTTTCCCCCCTCCCCCTGAAACTACATTTCTTAGTTCAAAACAAAGCTTTAAAACATAACCAAAAAAACTGCTCAGAGTTTACCTGCCCTTAACAGTTAAAATGAACAAGTATGCTTACTTAACCCTGTGATATACATGCCTCAAAATCTCTGGGAGGACCAAAAATTTCTTAAGAGGTAAAGAAAGAATATGTGAAAAACAAATCCCAACAGAAGTCACTGAGAATGGAGTTTAGATAACTATGTTTGACTAATCCAAGTCTTTGTGGCTTATTTTAATATTTCACCTTAAAGACTTGTCTTTTCCCCCATTTGTCCCTCCTCATTTCACATATTCTCTCTTTTCCTTTGCCTCCTCCTCCCCACTCTCCAAAAATAAAGGAAAAAAACAAACAAACCCAAACACACACTCAGATGACCTTTCATTATTGTTCCTATAAGCAGAAGCTGACTAAGGAACTCACACCTAAGTGATATAAAATAAAACAAAATGGGAAAACCCCCAGTTACATTTAGGGATCTGCCTTACTAGTAACTCAACAAACTGTATAGAGTCTACAATTAAAAATTGGGAGGATGTGTAGGAAGGATTTTCTGGCCTTTCTTACTGGTCATACCACTGCAATAATGATTCAACCTAGAACCTAAACCAACCTTCTACGGGACTGCACATAACTTCCAGTTCTCAGATACCAGTAACACAAATCTCAGTGGAAACAGGGAAACGTTTCTCTCAAATAACAGGTAATAGCTTGGACAAATGATTTACATGGTCTATGTTTACACAGGAACTTCCTTTAAAAAGAAACCAGTTCTTTCAAAGAGCTCTGAATTCTGTCCCTGGTTAGAAAGTCTGAAAAATTCTCAGAACTTGAGACATGATTTCTCTTCTATCACCCCTTACAAGCAGATGCCCCTTCTCAGGGCGCTTTCAGGCTGCACGGGCAGGACTAGGTGGGAAATACGGCTCCAGAGCCCACTCAACTTGTCTACGTCCATGTGTTTGTAGGAATTGGGTGTGTTCGAGTTGGTGAACTTGACTTTGAGGAAATCCCTCACTTTTTCTTCAATTTCTTTTAGGCTTAGACTGGTTCCTAGGGTCTCCTCCTCCAGCAAGACAGTCAGGACTAAGGCGACATCTTTGAAGGCTGCATTTTCATGGTCACAATATTTATAGAAGATCAAAGTGGAGCCTGCCGGCAGTGACTCGACACGGTGCACCACCGCTGCGTTGTGGCCATTCTGGAATCCGTTGCTCAGTTCCTGGTCCATCTCCAGTTTCACAACATCACTGTCCTGAGTAGCTCTGCCTGTCCCATCAATCCGGATGGCGGGGACACTACGGTAGGATGAATAGGCGTCAGCGATTTGTTCACTCAGACACTTGAGGGCTTCTTCAGCATCGCGGGCAGCAGTGAGCAGCAAGATGGCAGGCTGAGGCCGAGGCTGGGAGCTATTGAGATGTTTTTCTAGGAATGTCAGGCTCCTTTTCCACAGCTTCTCATCTTGACCTTGGTACTTACTCATGAGTTGTTTCATCTGGTTCTGGAACTCTTGAACAGCAGCAGTTTCTACCTCAGGAGTGTGAATGTACCACCAACATCCAACAAGAAAAAGCAGAACTGCTAGCCACAAATTCATCTTGACAAAGGATGCATTTTTGGGTTGTTTAGTCATGTCTGCTCAGGCAAAAGAAATGACAGATGCAAATATAATTTTCTTAGATTCAAGGGCAAGTGACTTGTAAAACCAATAGTAATCTTTATAACCATTAAACAAAAGAGGAATTTAAAGCGGGGAGCTGATAATTCACTTTCTTAAATAAATAATTTAGGGGTATACCAGAAACTAATATAATACTGTATTATTAACTGTAATTAAAAATTATTTAAATTAAAAAATAAACAAGAAACAATTTATTACATTTGCACAAAAATCTCACACCCATGGTTTTTAAGTTATGTGTATAAACATGCACATGTCTCTTCAATGCCGAAATGACAAAAAGTCTTAGAGGGAAAAGTGAAAAAACCATGGTGGGAAAAACAAGCTTAGAATGAACCACAGGGCGGTGGCACCGACTGTACTAGTGTAGTTGCTGTGTTCTTCATGGCCATGCATTCAAGGTTATCAGTTTCACTTAAGAATGCCCTTCATAAAGCAGTTGAAATTATTTCTTATTAAAACTCAACCCTTGAATACAAATCTTAATTTTCTGTGTGAAGAAATGGGAAGCACACACAAAGCACTTTTGATACAGAGCACAGTACAATGGTTGTCTCAGAAAAAGAACTTTGTGTAACTGAGTTGTGAGCTGAACTAGTGCCTTTTCACGGAATTTTTCATTGAAACAAGTGACAAACTATGGTTAGTCAGACTTGTATATCTGTTAGACATTTTCTTGAAAATAAACAAAGTGAGCCTGACAACTGACAATATTTGTTGCCAATTATAAAATTCAAGGTTTCCAGTGAAAATTAGGATTGTGGAAATATTGTATCTGAAACTATCAGTTTGAAAACTCCCAGTTCTTAAAGACTTTTTTGTCTTGAGGTTGGTGGTGGTATTAACAAATGTAATCTTTTTTATACTGTATTTCAAAAATCTCAACATTTGGAAGAACTTCATAACTTTGTGAACCAATATTTTCCAAATGACTAGTACATGATATTCTATCCAAAGGACGATGACGACCAATGGATTTTACAGAATATAAAAAGCTCATTGATGTGGTTTCAGATTTCATATTTATAATAATATTTAGAAACTACTACTTGTTGAGTTTGGAAAAGTACCAAAATAAGAATATCCACAATTATCTGAAACTACTGAAATTCTACAATTCTTTATAAAGCTGTATTTTCTGCAGATACTCCAATCAAAACAGTATATTGTAAGGACTAAATGCAGAAGCAGGTATGAAAATCTAGCTCCACTTTATTAAGACAGGCATTAAAGAGATTAGAAAAAATATAAAACAATCTGTCACTCTTCTTACTAAATTATTTAAAATTAAAGTAACATAAGAAAAATTTTTTTCAATTTTAATTTTTAGGTAAATATGAATAGATATAATCCATTTTTTTTTAAAAAGGTCTTTGGGGTACTATTAGTTTCACTAGTGGATAGTGTTACTGAGACCAAAAAGTCTGAGAATCACTGTTATTTTCTTAGAACTCACTCAGGATAATAAACAGGCTTACAAAATGAAACCTGTCCCCAATGCTATAAAGAAGGTAAGTGATCCAGTCTAACTCAAATACAGGGCTGTGGACTTGCAAGCCCATGGTGATCCCATTGAGTATGCTCTGTGAAGACTTTTTTTCTTTTCCTTTTTTTTAGTCAGCAAAGTCCGCTCAGTTAATAAAATAGAGTGAAGGGGAAAATCAGATGTCATTTCCATATAGTTTATCCTGAAAGAACTTCACTGCTAGTAAAATATATTCGTGTTCCTCTGAAGTGCTTACAATACAATTCTTCAAAAAGCATTGTTATTTTGCTGTCAAAAAAAACACCCAATTATGGATCACCAGTTTTAGAGACTCAATAAAAACTAAACAAACTTACGTTCGCTGAAGGGTGATGGAGACTGGTTTCCAAGCTTTGATTTCTGAATGCTGTTATCTAATAATAGGAGTAATAAAGACTATCAGTTAGTTTCACAACTTGAAGTTATTTCCAACAGAGAAAGAAAATAAAAATTCCGCCAGGAAAAAAAAAGGTGGCGATCAGCCAGAAACAGAATAGAGCAGAAGAACCCACAGCGACAGCTCCCTGGGACAGAGACCTATTCCCCTCGCAGTCCCTGACAGCACGCAGGGGTCCAGCACAAAGCACACTCTCAGTACATCGCTTTGTGAGAAAGCCTTGAAGTGTTCGATCCAAATTATTTAATGGAAGTTGTGAAGTTTAAAAGGATCAAGTAAATAAGCACAACTACAATGAAAGGAAACATACACTATCTGAAAAAAAAGACATATTAATCTTTTGTCTGGTGATGATGCTGCCAAGAGAAAAAAAGGACAAATTATGGATTATGGATTATTGAGCTATCTGGATAAGGTGTTTTAATGAAAATCTCAATTGTAACCCTATTTTGTACCTCTAAACTGATTAAAAAATTTCCCCTGGTGCTTCTGACCACTTCAAAAATCAATAATTTTTAAAAATTACATTGGTTGGGGACTGGGCGAAAAAGGTGAAGGGATTAAGAAGTACAAATTGGCAGTTACAAAACAGTCATGGGATGTAAAGTGCAGCAAAGGGAGTGTGGTCAGTAATATTGTGATAATTCTGTATGGTGCCAGGTGGGCACCAAACTTATGAGGGATCACTTTGTAAGTTATATAAACCTCTAACCACTATGCTGTATACCTGAAACTAATAAAATATTAAATGTCACCTGCAATTGAAAAAGTTAAATAAAATAAATAAAAACTACATTAAAAAATGTTTCATCATTTCTGTTATTAGACAAGTAACAGGTTTGTTTTAGGTTTGTGGTTAAATAGGTTTCAAAAAAAATTTTCTCACAACTTCATCAAATCTCTTCTTCTACCATTACTTTAGGAAACTAATTAAAAACTATTCCAGCTCTTTCCTTTTGCCCCTCCATCCTTCTTGGGTTGGCCACAGACTTTAACATCTAAGAGAGAGGGCTCCGAAGGTGGAGAGGCTAAGTTACTCATTCGAATGACCTACATTAACCAATACTAGCATCTATCACTTGCCTGTAGTTACAATTGTTACACATATAAATGATCTTTCTGGTAGATCTTCCTGGTGTTTCTCAACAGCTTTCACTTGGGAAACACTGAACTGAACTGGATGAATACAATTAGCGTGGCCGAGATCCAGAAACCACCTTATTTTTGGTCATAAGATTAAAAAAAAAACCCTCAAATGTAACAAAATGTCATCAACCTTACCTCTAAAGGCATACTGTTTCACAATGATTAGCTTAGCCTAGTAAACTACATCTTTTAGAAGCTTCTAAATTAGGTTACCAAACTTACTAATGTATAAAAACATCCAACAGATAATACCTCACTCCATGCTTGAAAAGATCAAATGAGATAATATAAAAACATGCTGCGAAGTGCTATACTAAGATATTAATGATGAATAGCTAAATAATAGTTATTACATAATGTAATATTCATATAACTCAAAAAGTATAAATTGAGAAAAAAACACAAACAAAATTAAGAAAACAATCCCATTTACAGTAGCATCAGAAAAAATAAGAATAAAGTTAACTAAGGCGATGAAAGACTTGTATGCTGAAAACTATAAAATACTGATGAAAGAAATTTAAAGCAGATAGAAGTAAATGGAAAGATAGCCCATGTTCATAAATTGAACAATATTCTTAAAATGTCCATACCACCCAAAATAAGCTACAGATTCAGTGCAATCCTTATAAAAACTCTAATGACATTTTTTTTTTTTACAGAGAGAAACACTTCTAAAATTCATATGGAGCCAAAGAGACTCCAAGTAGCCAAAGCAATTATGAGTAAAAAGAACAAAGATGGAGGCATCGCATTTCCTGATTTCAAAATACATCACAAAGCTAACATAATCAAAACAGGGTGGTACTGGCATAAAAACAGACATACAGAGCAGTGGAAGAGAAAAGAGTCCAGAAATAAACCCACACAGATACGGACAACTGATCTTAGACAAGGGTGCCAGACAAAGCATAATCTCCTCAATAAATGATGTTTGGAAAACTAGATACCCGCATGTAAGAGAATGAAATTGGACCCTTATATACTACTATACACAAAAATCAACCTAAGGTGGATTAAAAACTTAAACATAAGAACCAAAACCATGAAACTTCCAGAAGAAACAGAGAAAGAGCTTGTTGATACTGGCCTTGGCAATGATTTGTTGGATGACACTAAAACTATAGGCAACAAAAGCAGAGGTGGAACATGAGGTTATGTCAAACTAAAAAAGCACAGATATATGATCAAAACCATCTCATACCTACCTGTTAGGATGGCTAGTACAAAAAACAAAAACAAAAACAAAACAAAAGAGTGAGGCATGTGGAGAGGATTTGGAGAAAAGAAAGCCCTCTACACTGTTGTAGGAATATAAATCAGTGCAGGCTTTATGAAAATTAGTATGGAGGCTCCTCAAAAATTTAAAATGGATATGGAACTTCATATGGTTTGGGCAATCCCACTTTTGGATACAGGAAATTAGGATCTTGAAGAGATCTGCACACTCATGTTCACTGCAGTAATATGCACAACAGTCAAGACACAGAAGCAACCCAAATGTCCACTGACAGAAGAAGAGATTAAAAAAAACACACACACACACACACACACACACACAATGGGATACTATTGAGCCTTTAAAAAGGAAATTCTGCCACTTGCAACAATATGGAGGACATTCGGCCAAGTGAAACAAGCCAGACACAGATGGACAAATACTTCAGGGTACCACTTATGTGAAGAATCTAAGATACAGTCAAATTCATAGAAGCAGAGAGCAGAAAGGTGGTTTCTAGGGGCTGGGGATGGAGGAAATAGGGAGGTATTAGTCAAATGGTGCAAAGCTTCAGTTACACTAGATGAATAATTCCTGGAAATCCACTGTACAGCATAGTTGACAATATTGTATTGTATATTTAAAAATTTGCTAAGAGCGTTGATTTTTTTTTTAAGAGAGTTGATAATGTTTGTTCTTATCACACACAAAAATAATGAGGTTGAGAGGAAACTTTTAGAAGTGGTAGATGTTTATGGCATAGATTACAGTAATGGTTTCACATGTACTTATTTCCAAACTCATTAAGGTGTATGCACTAAGTGTATGTCTCAGTAAAATGACTTAAAAAATTGAGAATTATAAGTAGAGCAACATATAGTGAAAGAGCATGTACAATAAAATTGTCATATTTTTTCATTAAGGAAATACCTATCAACGATAATGTTTATCTTGAATACCTTACTCCATGGTTGCAAAGATCAAATGAGTAATAGATGAAAATGCTGGTAAGTGCTCCTCTGTGATCATTTTAATGAAGAATAGCTAAACAACAGTTATATAAGGTGAATTTTTTCCCCCAGTGGGGTGCACCATTCCTGGAAGTACTGCAATTCCAGGTTGAGGCTTGGAGTGGATGGAACAAGCTCCTAAACCCCATTATATGAAATCCATTCATATAATGTCCTTGGATAGAGGACATATCAGATACTAAACTGATAAGAACACATACTACACCTGATCTTAGCCAAAAGGCTGAGAAATGATATATAAGATGAAATATTTATATAATTCCTAGAACACAAACTTAGCAAGGTATATACTGCTAAGACAGGGAATTGTATAAAAGGTAATCTCTATCCTGCTTATTAAAAATATTATTGGGGAGAGTCACAAAAATTCCTAAAAACAAAGAACTTTTAAAAGATAAAGCTTAAGCTTTTCCAGTCTGAAGAGTATGGTAACTATCAATCATTCTACAAAAAGCAGAGGTCACAAATCATTCATAGTTGTTATTATCATTACACAATATATTTTTAACAAGAAATAAGCAATAATTATTTATGTGGTATATAGAATTGAAAAGTTGTGTTCACATATTTAGTAAGCTCATCAGAGTAAGCTGGTTATAGGCACTATTGACCCTACTTTAAAGGTAAGAATACTGAAGTTTACAAAAGTTAACTGTGTACCAAGATGACTCAATTAATAGCTGGGACTAGCACCCAAGAACTCTTAACTCCAAATTTTCCTCTTTACACTGCTTTTAGAGACAGGCTCCAAAGCATGTACATTAATGAGACACAGACTCAGAATTCTGACGTCTCCATAAACATCCTTCCCTGTTCTCACTGTTTTATCACCTGGGAAAAAAGAAAAATCAAGATAGCAGTTCTGTCTTTCCCAAAAGTTGGGATACAGGTAGAAACCTGACTTAGGACCTGTCTGTGCAGACAATTGGTGCTGACATGAGGTGACAATAAGGATCTAAAGTCCCTGGTTCTTGAACCCTAAATCTAATGATGACATTTTTTCCATCTGAAATAGGCAAAAATGTATAGTGAAGGTGATGAGACATGAAATGTGGAATGCTAAGAAAACTATTTAAAAAATGATCTCAGATTGAAGAAGAATCTATAAAGCTGTTTGAAAATCACAGCAGTCTTCTACTATCACTGAAGATATTTTCTCCCTGTTCATTGTTCAAGTACTTGGGAAGTTAAAGGTCTAAAATACTGTTATCTGCGTCTTTTTAAAAATTGATTTGAAAGAGGGAGGGAGGTAAGGAAGAGAGGAGGGAAGAAGGTGGGGGGAGAAACATCGATTTGTTATTCTACCTATCCATGCCTCTATTGGCTGATTTCTGCATGTGCCTTGATTGGGGACTGAACCTGCACCCCTGGCACACTGGGATGATACTCCAGCCAACTGAGCAACCCGGCCAGGGTGTTATCTGCACCTTAGTGTACAAACTCACATGACATATAATTTCCACATAACTCTCAAAACCATATATACATACATATAGTACAGGACTATTGATCAGTATATTAACAATTTAAACCATAATAAATATACTAACTTAAGACAAAGTAGGAATGCAAACAGATAAATTAAAAGAAAAAAGCTCTCAATTTAGTAACTAAAAAATCTATTTCTACATTCCAATCAGATCTTCAATGTAATTATTTTCTCTTCTACACTGTATTTGCAGTGTTTTATTGGATAAAATAAAAATTATACAAATTTTTTTTGAGCAACATGTTCACTTTATATAAAAAAGTCTCCTAGTTTTTCTTTTTTTTAAATTATTTTATGCAAAAAATTTTAGACTACATTTTTTATAATACTGTATACTATACTTCCCTTATTTGGAAGTAATCTGTTTTTAATTACCCAAAATATATAGTTAAGTAATAAGAAATTACTTATTATATAATGTCTCTGAGCTTCTCATAGAACATATGCTCAAACTCATGCATTTTTATTTCCAAGAGTATCTGTCAGATCTTCACAGTAAGTTTTAATTTATTTATCTTGTTATAATCCTAATAAGCTGAATAATTAATATTTGGTTTCCTAATTCTAGTAGGACAAAACGTGCAAACTGTAAAAGAAAATGGTCTTCTAATAGCAGGTACACAAAGCAGTAAGAAATGACAGCCAACAGTAAGGCAAAGGCAAAAAGTAATCCAGCTTAGGCAGCTGAAGAACTCACCTACTGGTGAGGTAAAACTTCACAGCTGGGAAATTGAATTGTGACCATTACTACTTTACTGATGGAAAACAAAGCCACAGAGCTTATCTTGTCCAATTACAGTCAGTCATTTCATGAGCAGGAGATGCATGATGGGGATTTTTACATCATCTAAATAAAAGTAAGGGGAGGCCCAGGCTGGGTAGCTCAGTTTGTTGGACCGTCAATCCCAATATGCCAAGGCTGTGGGTCCAATCCCTGGTCAGGGCACATACGAGTCAACCAATGAATTCAAAAATAAGTGGAACAACAAATCAATGTTTGTTTCTCTCTCTCTCAAATCAATAAATAATAAAAGTAAGGGGATATCTGATGAATTTGAGAGCTACTGTGATTAGAAGAGTAGAGACGGGAGAGACGATAAGGGTCACGGAAGGCATGAATTTTTTTTTTCTATATATTCAAGGTTTAATATAAGCACATTGCTACAGAAATTACCATGCACACTGAATTCAAAGTATGATTTTTTTTTTATCACATCTATTTATGATAGTTCTTAAATTTTGTGACTTCTAATCCCTCCTAAACCTAAAACTGAAAATACAATTAGTGGATTTCAGCCTTTATTACTTAAAATAATGGGTACACAAAGCTGCCCCAAGTTTACTTATATAAAAGTAAACAAAGTCTGCTAAAAATAAAAAACAGGTACCGTTAGAAGAGTAGGTTCTCATCATCATATACAGATTGTACTGCTGGTGCACAGAACTGACAACTTGTCAAGTCTATACCCTACACCCACTGGCTGGCTCATACCACTGTCTATACTGCACAGAGTTCACCTCCTGCCGGTCCAAGTAGATGGAAATAGCTAACTAGTCATCAGAGCTGTCCCTTTATTAATGAAATCACAAACAATCTAAATGCTTATCTGAATAACTCAATGTTTTGTATGTTAAATAATCAAGAAAAACAGCAAATCAAATTATTTCAGTAACAAGTAGAGATTTATCAACTTACTTTGTATCCTAGCCCTTATTTGGGGGCGTTGTTCAACCCATTCCTGAGAGGCTTTTTGATGTCCCGAGCCTGAAGCAAATGCATATCAAAATATCATTGTGCATACTTTGTACATGTATACCGTACTCCAGTGTTAAATAATGTCAAAGGGTTAAATGTGAGTCTGAACTACTTCCCAGAAAAATAGGTAACAAATAAATATACAGGGGTGAGCAAAAGTAGGTTAATAATAGTAATAATAAATAATACAATAATTAATAAATAAATAATACAAGAATAAATTCCATTTCATGTACTCACAACTGTAAACCTACTTTTGCCCACCCTTATATAATCACCTAAGAAACAAATCTGTACAAGTCCTTTGCTCTGGTGAGAATGACTGTGTTCAGTAACACCTGAACTTGATTTTGATGTTATTTAAGATGAAAAAGTTGACCATTCACACTTGCCAATAAATTACTTTGGGTAAACATTTCTATAACACAGAGTAATTACCACATATAGTACCAATGTGTGAACTAAAAGGCAAAGAGGACAAAATGACTTAAAATCCTGTTAGCACTTTTTTTAAAAAAGATTTTTTTAAATTTATTTATTTTTGATTTTTTAAATGTTTTCATTGTTGAAGTACAGTTGTCTCCATTTTCCCGCCACCACTTTCCTCTGCCCTACCCACTCCACCTCCCACCCTCAATCCTTTCCCACCATTAGTACCTTTTGCTGGCAGAGTAAGACAGGTTAGAATTAGCTGACCAATGAAGAACCACCCACCAACCACTTACTCAGCCCTGAATGTTGCCTGTCCAGAGTTGTGAAGTCTCGACCTGAAACAGAAAACAGAAATAAGGTCAGAGGATACTTGGAAATAATATCAAGGAAGATACTGCATAAATGTTTTGCTTGTTTATCATGGATACTATAAATCAAAGAAACAAAAAAAGCCTTTCTTTCACCAGTCCCAAACATATACAATACGTAATTGTTTTCTCTTTTCTAAATGTCAAAATGTTCAAGAATTGGGTAATTAAAAGTCAGCTTTAGGATCAATATCATCAAAATAATGATGAACTGCACTGAACGAATACTGAAGGTGTTAGTATAATTTTACTTAGTTCTCACATTTTATGTGGTTAATACTAGTACTGTTCATATTTTGCAAATATATCTCAAAGTAGTGGGGCTGATATATAAACCCTGGCAGTCCATATATAACACTATGTATTATACAAGCAGATTTCTGGACATTGCAGAGTTATGAAATAAAAGACACGTTTTGGGGTAGTATTTAAGGACAACTATGAAATGATACAATGGAACTAGAAAATGGTACTGTAATTCTAACAGGTAAATTTCCAAATCGGTTCTGAAGAAATGAGTTACTTCTACCCGTTGATGTAAATTTATTTTCAACTTAATTTTTTCCTGAACACAATATATGCTAGCTGTAAAAGAAATGCAATTTTTGAGAAAGGTATACCTTAAAAATTCCTAAATGTCTATTAAGTGCTTACTATGTGCAAAACATTACATGTAGAAATATCATGGTGAATAAAACAGACATATATTTTTCCAGATTTGTCTTCAGTCTATACTAACAAAATGTTTTTTTAGAAAGTAGACACTTAATTTTTTATATTTCCTTTCACTAATTCTAAAGAGCACTTTTTAAAAAAACACCCCAGATTTAGAGCTACATAATTAATAGTATATCATAGTTTAACTGGGTCTTTTTTCTTTCTTAGTGATGCATAAAATCAATGGTATCTTAGATTCAAGGAAATATATCTTGATCACCTATATCCATTAGTATACAGAATTAACTCATTTTTCATAGCTAAATAGTATTCCAATGCACGAGTGTGGCATAACTTATATAGGAAGATACATTTAAGAACTTCCAAAATCAAAGGTTTAGAATAACAAAGGGCAAATATTTAAGTTGATTCATAGCATCTTTGTCACAAATGATTTATTCTTGTTTCAGCAGCTTATTCATCTTGTTACCTCTCAGTTTTTAAGTCACAAACCTAGAGCCTACTGAAAACTAACAAATACATATACATAAAGTGAAATTCCATGAACAGAGTGAGTATGAAACAGATTTTTCACAGTCCCCAGATAGCAGCCACCATGAGGGTGGCTGCAGAAGATGTCACTGCTACTTTTGAAAATCATCAAAAGACAAATACATTTGTGCAGAATACAAACTGAATCACAGAGCTGAAGGAAGAAATAGATGTAAAAAAGAAACAACTCTAAAATTTAAAAGATGCTTGTGGGGACATCATGCTTGCAGATGATGACTGCTTATAATAATACCTTATCAAATTGGTGATGTTTTCATTATTCATTCTCAAGAAGAAACACAAGAAATGTTAGAAGAAGCAAAGAAAAATTTCCAAAAAAAACTGACACCTTAGAATCCAGAGCAGAATCAATTCGATGGGTGTTAGCAGATTTGAAAATTCAGTTATATGCAAAATTTGGGAACAACATAAATCTTGAAGCTGATAAAAATTAAACATTTTATAATACTTTAAAAATTTAATAAACTTGATTATTGGTCAAATGATAATTTTCCTTTAAATGATATGGAGAGCAAAACTTTCTTTTTAAAACATTTTTCAATAGAGAGGGAGAGGTTAAGAATAGTACAGGAAATGGAGAAGCCAAAGAACTTACATGTACGACCCATGGACGTGAACTAAGGGCGGGGGAGAATGCTGGTGGGAGGGGAATGGGGGGAGGAGAATGTGGGATAACTGTAAGAGCATAATCAATAAAATATACTTCAAAAATTTTTTTCATTTATTTGATGATTTAATGAAAATTTGCCTATTTTCACATCTTGTTTTATATTTTTAAAAGAATGAAGTATTAATCTATGTATTTAGCATAATGATTATACCAAGTGTAGGGGTTTTATGTCATGTTATTAAAATTAGTTAAGGAATCAAAACAAAACAAAATGAAACAAAAAACAGAATAGATTTCCAAAGTCTTTTTAAAAAAAGTCTCCTATTTTTAGATCATCAGGTAGGATAATCCATACCTGTTTCTCCTTTTTTGGAGAACAGATTAGAATATGATGATTGGAGTTCGCATAATTCGTGATTAATGTCTCTGCGTAATCAGGACTTGCAAAAAAAAGTCTAAAAAAAGCATTTTTTAAAAGGAGATGTGAAAGGGGAAAAAAAAGAGTCCTTGAAGATTTTATATACACAAGGATATTTTTTATCTATTAATAAACTCAAACTCTGGGGCTTGATTTGAAACTGTGAAAAAAAGGTCCTGGCTGGTGTGGCTCAGCCGGTTGCTGCTGCCATCCCATTACCAGAGGGCTGTGAGTTTGATTCCTGGGCAGGGCCCTTACCTAGGATGCAGGTTTGATCCCCGATCCCCAGTCCAGGTGTGAGCTCAACTGATCGATGCTTCTCTCTGGCATCAATGTTTCTCTCTCTCCCTTCGTCTCCCTCTAAAAGCAATGAAAAAATGTCCGTGGGTGAGGATAAAAAAATAAAATAAACAATAAAACTGTGAAAATAAAAGACAGTATCATTTCTGCTTAACCTAAGAAACACATTCGCTGTAGACGATCTGCAAAACACAGGAACAAATTAAAAGAAAAATGTCACTAATGATTCTGCTATCTTAAGCAAATCATTGTTTGTTTTTTAGCACATTATTTCCCAATCTTTTTTTGTGTTTATATTTTTCTCAAGATGATATTACAAAAATTTACAAAGTTGTAAACAAGTCTATAAAACTTTTATATACCCACTACCTAGCTTACCACTAACTTTTTACTGTAGCTTATTTATCACTTCTTTATTCATAATTCCAAACCTTTGTTAAGAGTTGAAATTATACCGCTTATAAAATTTTATATCATTATTAGAATATGTCTATATAAGGAGGCTCAAATTACTACATTAATTAAAATAATCAACAAATTTATATTGCAAGCAAGAATATTCAACAAATCACTGAAAGCAAGTTTTTCTTTTGTTTTAATTCAAATTCAAGGTTGAATATAGACATGATTAGTTCAAGAAGCAAATTTAAGATGCACAATGAGGTTTTTAAAGCATTCACCAGACAGTGAACTTGTAAAAGAGCGTCTTCAAAAATGAGAACAGCAGTGACCAAGCCCACAGGCAGACTTGAAGGATGGTAAAACATGGCCTCACTTACTTTGTGGTGACTGCCAAGGCAATTCAGGATGTTGACCTGATCTGCTGGTTTGATCTAAAAAATAAAAAATACATATAGTATGATATAGAGCATACTTAACTTTTTAAATGCCCATTTTATGAGAGAAAAAGGAGTAATCAAAAGTAAAAATATAGAGGTGAACTCCAATTGCATATTTGGTGTGTATTTGAACAACTCAGACATAAAAGTAATTTTCTAAGTATATCAAAACTTCTGAAGAGCTAAGTAACACTCCTGATAGTGCAGTGAGTATTGATGCCAATGTGATCAGTTTCCCTATCAAATTAAAAAAGAAAAACACTACAAAATAACTCTTCTTGTGAACACAAAAATACTGTATTCCATAAATATCAAATCAGGCTAAAAAGTGATTTATCTGTTTAGGTATTATATGACATTTTATTACTAATCAGAGGTACACATGAAATCAGTAATTTTATTAAATACATAAAAGTTTAAATACTTTTTAACTTTTAAAAAACTTTTAAAGTTTAAACTTTTAAATACTTTAAAAGTTTAATAAAATATTTTAAAGTATTTTTTAAAAACACAAATACACAGAATACCTTTATATTGTAACTAAAAAGACAACTAACTCCTAAGATAAGCATCGTATGTGTATAAAGCAGTATTACCTCTAGAGGCAGCTGAATCCGTGAAGCTGACCTTAAAAGTAGGAAGGGTGCTAGTGGGGCTGTCTCGATATTCTTCAGCGTCCCCTGCAAAGAAATAAAGGACACACCAGCATAGTCTTTATTCTAATGCTCTAAAGATCTGTATTAAAAAACAAAAACAATCAACATTAAAGGGAATCATTTTAATTATCATATACAGAATTGTGCTTTATTATGTTTACTATTCTGTGTCAAAGTTTTAAATAAGCTAAAATTAAGCTCATTTCCTTTATGTTCTCTAAGACATATAATTAAGTTCCAAACAAATATTCACAGTAATATTTGTAAGATCACATTCTGAGGATGTGATATAAAGTTAAAAAAAAAAAAAAGAGTATTAAGTAGTGGAAAATTTTTACCTTATTGATTTTACTTTATTAGTGCATAAATTCAGACAAGATTAGTACCTGCACCCACGCATGTCTGTATTTGTCTGCGAAGGTTATATAGGTGCCCATATGCAAACATTTTAGTATGCAGGTGACTCACTTCTGATTATGGTGGGCTTAAAAATGGACTAAATTGTTTTGTACTATTCAAACACAGACTGGTTAAGAGAATTTGGAAACCTGCATTAATAAAATGATCAAAAGCAGCACATGTCAGAAACTGAAATTACTAGCTGTGCTTAAAATCATTAACTCAGACAAAAGATGCTTAAAATGGACATGAATGATATCAACACTCATTCTATACTATTTCACCTGCCCATCTGACAGTTCAGATAAGCATGAATATTTTTTCCTAAAGAAAAAGACACTATTTTCTGCTCTTACTCTTAAGTATCCATCAAGATTGCTTATATAACATTAACAAAAAATGAGAATATACTGTATAACATTTTAAAAGAAAATACCTTCTTCAGAGAAATTGATCTTCTGTTGGACACTGGTGGCTTCTACAAGAGAAAAGCATATATGTACGTAACATCAAAAGCTAAAGCTTAAGTATAAATTAAGAGAATCTAAATTAAGGAAAGTGAACATAAAGACACACTAAACTATTTTTTTTGTTAAATCAAAAAAGAGTTTATTATTTCCCTCTGGGAGCTTTCAAGAATAAGGCTGATACAAACTAAAATCAGTTAATTTTTCCTTCACCCACAGGTCTATTTATTTGTGCTCTACAATGTAACCTGTGTCTGCAGACATTAAATTCTATGTTGATAACTGTAACAGTCTCTATAGGTGCTAGTTTAAAAACAAATAAACAAACAAAAACCCTTCACATCTGTTATCTGATTCCCATAAACTTATAAGGAAATACACTTTTTAGATTAACTCTCAACCATGCTAAGTGACTTGTCTAAGGGTGTCAGCGCTAACAAGTAGTAAGAAAGGACTTAAACACTGGCTCTTCTGATTTCCAGTCTATTACCCTTTTACTACTCCATCAGTCTTGTTCATAATAGCACATTGTAAGCACTCAAAAAAAAATTTTTTTTAAATGAAGACTCTTTTATAGAGCAGCTTAAGGTTCACAGCAAAACCCGGTGGAGAGAGATGTCCCATTCGCTCCCTGCTCCCACACCTGCATAGTCGCCCCATTATCAACATCCCCATCAGAATGGTACATTTGTTAAGACTGATGAACCTGCATTAACAAATTACAGTCTCCTCAAGACTGTAACTTACATGGGTTGGGTTCCCTCTTGGTTTTGTTGCTTCTATGCATTTAGACAAATGTATAATGACAGGTACTCATCACTGTGGTACCATACATTATTTTCACTGCCCTAAGAATCCCGTGCGTCCCTTCATTCCTTCCCCACCCCCGAAAACTTCAGCAACCACTCATCTTTTAAATACTATTTCAATCATTTTGCTTTGCCTGGAATATCATGTAGTTGGAATCATATAGTGTATATCCCTTTCAGATTAGTTTCTTTCACATAGTAACATGCATTTAAGGTTCCTCCATGTCCTTTCATGGCTTGATGGTTCATTTCTTTTCAGCACTGAATAATACGCCATTGTCTAGATGCAGCAATTTGTTTATCCACTCCCCTGCTGACGGACATCTTAGTTGCTTCCAAGTTTTGGCAATTATGAATTATACTGCTATAAATATCTCTGTGTAGGTTTCTGAGGGGACATTTTCAACTTTTTTGGGTAAATAGCAGGGAATGTGATTGCTGGACCACATAGTAAGAATATACTCAGTTTTATATGAAATTGTAAAACCACCTTCGAAGTGGTTGTACCATTTGACATTCCCACCAGCAATAAGTAAGAGTTCCTGTTTTTCCATATTCTCACCAGCATTTAGTGTTGTCACTTTGGGCATTTTAATAGGTACATACTGGTATCTCATTGTTGTTTTAAATTGTGTTTTCCTGATGACATGTGAAGTACCTTTTCATATGTACATATTCACATGGATTTTTGCCATCTGTATCTCTTCTTTGTTGAGGTCTCTGGTTAAGATCTTAGGCCATTTTGAAATCAAATTCTTTTCCTATTGCTGAGTTTTAAGAGGGCCTTGTACATTTCAGATAATAGTCCTTTATCAGGTGTCTTTTACAGAGCATTAGTTTTTAACAAAATTTAGATTATCAATGAATTCTTTCATGGCTTGTGCCTTTGGTTTATAGCTAAAAAATTACCATTATACCCAAGATCATTTAGGTTTTTACCTGTGTTACCTTCTAGTAGTTTTATAATTTTGTGTTTACATTTAGGCCTGTGATCTGTTTTGAGATAACTCTTGTGAAGGGTGTAAGGTCTGTGTCTAGATTCATTTTTTTTGGCATGTGGATATCCTGTTGTTCCAGTACCATTTGTTGAAAGGACATTGCTCTATTATATTGCCTTTGCTCCTTTGTCACTAATCAGTTGACTATATGTGGGTCTATTTGTGGGCTCATTATTCTGTTCCACTGATCAATATGACCATTCTTTTGACAATACCACACTGTCTTGATTACTGTAGCTTTATAGTAAGTCTTGAGTACTGTCCTTCTACTTTGTCCTCCACATTCAACACTGTGTTGGTTATTTTAGGTCTTTTGTCTCTCCATATAAACTTTAGAATGAAATTGTCAAAAGGCCACAAAATAACTTGCCAAGATTTTGATTGGAATTGCACTGAGCCTATAGAGTCAGTTGGAAAGTAATGACATCTTGACAATATTGAGTCTTTCTAGCCACTAAAAGGGAATACTTCCTTCAGTTATTAGTAGTTCTTGGACTTCATTAATTGGTTTTGTAGTTTTTCTCAAATCTTGGACACCTTTATCAGATTTATATAAGCATTTAAATTGAGGGAATGCTGATAGTAATTGTATTTTGTTTGCAATTTTAAACTTCTCTTGAAGGTCAGAGGAGTATGTGGAAGCTACACTAACCTCCTCCTGGGACCAATTTGGAATTACAACTAAATTGTAGAGAAATCACCCTGAATAATCAATTGAACACTAGCTGGAGAGAAGCCTTATAACCAAGAACAGACAAAAGAAACCACTTCACCACAAGGAGACTGGTAGGGAGTTGTGGAGGCGGCACGAAAGGTCTGGCTGGGCTCCCACGGGTAGCAGCTGAAGTTCCAAAGGGATATTTCAGCAGCTGGGAGGTCCCCGCCTTAGAAGTGTAGAGTCTAAACACCAAGCTGGACTCCCCAGTCTCCTGTGCCAGAGTCGGAAAGGAATGCAGACAACATCTAGCTGTGAGAAGATGAGATCTCAGAAATACAATCATAGTCCGGTGTTTTAATGCCCCATTGACTTTAATGGATAGATCTTCTAGACAGAAAATCAACAAGGAGACAGTGGCCTTAAATGACACAGTAGATCAAATGGATTTAATTGATATCTTCAGAGCATTTCACCCCAAAACAGCAAAATATACATACTTTTCAAGTGTACACAGAACATTTTCAAGGACAGACTACATGTTAGGACATAAAACAAATCTCAATAAATTTAAGATGAAATCACATCAAGCATCCCCTCAGACCACAATGTTATGAAACTAGAGATCAATCACAAGAACACTGAAAACATACACAAAGACATGAAAGCTAAATAACGTATTGTTAAACAATGACAGGGTAAACAACAAGATCAAGGAAGAACTAAAAAGATACCCTGAAACAAATGAAAATGAGGACACAATCCAAAATCTGTGGGATGTTGGGAAAGCAATCCTAAGAGGGAAAGTCATAGCATTACAGGCCTATCTCAAAAAACAAGAAAAAGCTCAAATAAACAATCCAACTTCACACTTACAGGAATTTGAAAAATGGCAACAAAGCCCAAAGTGAGTAAAAGGAAGGAAATAATAAAGATCAGAGCAGAAATAAATGAAATAGAGTCTAAAAAAAATGATACAAAAGATAAATGAATCCAAGAGCTGGTTCTCTGAAAAGATAAACAAGATGGACACATTTTTAACCAGACTCACGGAAAAAAAAAGAGAGGATAAAAATGAAATCACAAAGAAAGAGGGGAAATAACAACTGACACCAAAGAAATGAAAAGGACTGTAAGAAATTATGAACTATATGCCAACAAACCTGAAAACCTGGACAAAAGGATAAATTCCTAGAAACACACAATCCTCCAAAGCTAAAACAGGAAGAATCAGATTACACCTAGTGATATCAAAGCAGTAATCAAAAAACTCCCAATAAACAAAAGAGGAAGCAAGCATATACAAGCACATGCAATGGGCTAAAAATAGTTTATTCATACATGGTGTTGCGAAAATTGGACAGATAAATGCAGAAAAATGAAACTAGACCAACTTCTTACACCACACACAAGAATAAATTCAAAATGGATCAAAGTCTTAAATGTTAGATCTGAAACCATAAAAATCCTAAAAGACATGGGGAGCAAAATCTTGGACATTGCTCATAGTAATATTTTGTTGGACATGTCTCCCCAGGCAAGGGAAACAAAAGAAAAAAATAACAAATGGGACTACATCAAACCTAAAAGTTTTTGCACAGCAAAGGAAGCCATCAACAAAATGAAAAGACAACCTACAGAATGGGAGAACATATTTGCTGATACATCTGATAAGAAGTTGATTTCCAAAATCTATAAAGAACTTAACAAAACTCAACACCAAAAACACAAACAACACAGTTAAAAAATGGGCAAAGGACCTAAATAGACACTTCTCCAAAGAGGACATAAAGATGGCCAATAGACATAGGAAAAGATGCTCAACATCACTAATCATCAGAGAAATGCTAATTCAAACTACAAAGAGATACCATCCCAAATCAGTCAGAATGGCTACCATCAATAAATCAGCAAACAAGCACTGGTAAGGATGTGGACAAAGGGGAACCCTTTTGCACTGTTGGTGGGAATGCAGACTGGTGCAGCCACTGAAGAAAGCAGTATGGAGATGCCTCAAAAACTTAAAAATGGATCTGCCTTTTTGACCCAGTGATCTCACTTCTGGGAACATATCCAAAGGAATGCAAAACACTAATTTGAAAGAACATAAGTACCCCCATGTTCCTTGCAGCATTATTTATAATCACCAAGCTATGGAAGCAGCCCAGTGTCTATCAGTAGATAAGTGGACAAAGCAACTTTGGGACATTTACAAAATGGACTACTCCTCAGCCATAAAAGAAAAAATTTTACCCTTTCCAATTGTATGGATGGACCTGGAGAACATTATGCTAAGTGAAATATGCCAGTCAGAGAAAGACAAATACCATAGTATTTCACTCACATGTGGAATCTAATGAACAAACTGAACAAACAAGGAAAACGGGGACAGATTCATAGATGGAGAGCAGGGTGACAGTGCAGGGGAGGTAAGAGAGTGGAGGGACTGAGCAAAAAGGTAAAAGCACTCATGGACATGGCCAACAATGTGGCGCCTGCTGCAGGAAGGAGGGCATACGGGGACTAAATGGTAATGAAAAAAATACAATAAAGATCAAATATTTTTAAAACACTCCTGTTGCCCATTATTGGTATATATAGGGAAAGTGATTCACTTTTGTATATTAACCTTATTATCCTACAATGTTAGTATAATTATTAGTTTCAGCAGTTTCTTGTATTCTTTTGGATTTTCTACAGAGATGAGCATGTAATATGCGAACAAAGACAGTTTTATTTCTTCCTTCCCAATGTGTACACCTTTTTCTTCCTTTTCATGTCTTATTACATTAGCTAGAACTTCCAGCACAACGTTGAAAAGGAGTGCTGAGGGCATCCTTGCCTTGTACCTGATGTGACAAAGCTTTCAGTTTCTCACCATTAAGTATGTTAGCTGTAGAGTTTTTTGCAGATAGTTTTAATCACGTTGAGAAAGTTCCCTTCTATTATTTCTAGTTTACAGAGAGTTTTTATAATGAACAGGTGTTGGAGTCTGTCAAATGCTTTCCCTGCATCTGTCCATTAATCATGTAATTTTTCTTTAGCTTGTTGATGTTAACAGATTACATTAATTTTTAAACAATTTCTGTACTTTTTTGGGATTCGATATTTCTGGTTCTAGCATTTGGGCCCGTCACTGGCACATAGCAGGTGGTTAAAAATAAATGTTGCCCTGGCTGTGTAGCTCAGTTGGTTAGAGCGTCATCCCAATGCCAAGTGCCATGGTTGAGAGTTCAATCCCTCCCTGCTCAGGGCACATACAAGAATCAATCAATGAGTGCATAAATAAATGGAACAACAATTAATGTTTCTCTCTCTCCTCCTTCCCCTCTCTCTTAAAAAAAAAAAGTTTGTTTTAATGAATGAATAGATTTTAGGATCAGTGAACAAAAACTTTTAAGTTAAGGTTTTAGGTCATATTTCTCATACTATAGTAAAAAAAATCACTTGGCAACTTAAGAAAAATCATCTGAATTTAGTGCTTAATAATTAGATTTCATGCAAAGTTTTTAAAATTCCATTTGTTTTCATCTTTTTAACCTAAGCTGCAAAATATTTACATGAAATCTGATAATGAATCAACCGCATCTATGACTATGTAAGTTTTAATTTCATTTCCCTCTTTTGTTATTCAGCTTCCTTTATTTTAAACTCCTTGGCTGTTACATGCACAAGTTTAAAACATTAAATAAAATACATAAACACACACCCCCCATATATATGTGTGTATATGTGTGTGTTTATGTTATATATGCGCAGGGTGGGGCAAAGTAGTTTTATGGTTGTTCATATGGAAACACAATAATTAATAAATAATACAAGAATAAACTGTATTTCAAGTACCCACAATTGTAAAGCTACTTTTGCCTCACCGTGTGTGTGTAGATAATCTGATAGTATTACTCTTCCCTATGCTCATGCAGAAGCTTTGATAAATTAAAATCCTATTTGGAGCAATAATACCCTTTAATTTAAAAAGTTGTATTAAGAAATTATACAAGCTTTCCTGGCTGGTGTGGCTCAGTGGATTGAGTGCCAGTCTGCAAACCAAAGCGCCACTGGTTCAATTCCCAGTCAAGGCACATGCCTGGGTTGTGGGCCAGGTCCCCAGTTAGGGGGTGCGCAAGAGGCAACCACAAACTGATGTTCCTCTCCCTCTCATTCTCCCTCCCTCTATCTATCTGTAGGGAAAAAAATTATAAAAGCTGTGGCTCTGACAAATTTGTAGACACATGGCAATAATGCAATGTGCTGCTAAGCTGTCACTTTTCCAACCTCCTCAACCAATTAGGAAAACGTGCTGAAGAGATCACTTACAACCATTTCCTCTGGTGAGACCACTAATTGTAACACTTTGTTCATCTTCTTTTGTATGATCACAGTTTTTAAGGAAAACACAAAGTTCCACGTATATTTCTACTACTATACAAACTTTCCTATTCCTACAGATTTGTGGAATGTGTTGATGGGAAGAGTGAAGGTACTGAAACAAATATAAACTTTGTTTATCTTGTGTTTTGCCTAGGGGCAAAGATATCAAGACTTCATAAATGAGACTGTCATGCTTTCTCAAAGAGAAGAATAGGTAAAATGCAGGAGTCACTGTGTCTCCTGTCTTCTTGTGTTGTCAGTACAAACTGCCATGGAGTGTTACCTAAGTCCCTGTCCAGGTAAGTACATACCTCTCTGAATTTACTATTAGAACAAACAAATGACAATTTGGGTGATTTGCTGTCTTTATTCCTGCCATTGGCATAAATCAGGGGTTGGTAAACTTTTTCCACATAGGGCCAAACAGCAAATATTCTAGGATCTGTGAGCCATGCAAGCTCTCTGTATTAAAACAAACAAACGAACAAAAAACCCCAAAATTTTTTAATTCAGTTTTCATATATACTTGAAATATAGAGATATTTCACAAAGTGTAATGATCTTTTTTTAGCTCATAGGCTGTAAAAAAACAGGATTGCAGGTCAGATTTTACTGAGAATCTATAGTTTGCTGTCTCCTGGTACAGATACCTCTAAGAATGCTACCTGCAACATTATTTAATGCCAACCATGCTTTTCAGAACAGTCAGAATGGGGCAGCAGGAGGAGGAGATTAAAGAATAGTTTGGGGACATTACTAGCATTCAAACTTCACGAAGAGCCATTTGATATATTCCATTCTCTATAGTAATCTAACAGAAATTTCCTTTAAACTGGAAAACACCTGATTTAAAGTTGGGTTTTATTACAAAGTACTAATAAAAATGATATCTAACTCTAGCATAGAAAGTTAAAGTGCTGAATTATCTCCAAGTTATCTTCCAATTAAGAGTCTGACTTAATCACCCCAATACATTCATAAAAGAAAAAAAGCAGTCTGATGTCAAAAGTTTAAAAAAAAACTAAAAAAAAAAAAAAGTCTGACTTAAAAACTTTTCCCCCCCTCATTTTCAAATACAGCCCTTGAGAGACCCTGAGGTTCTGAAAGAAGTACACACGGTAGCTACAGGCTGCGGGAGTCATCTTCAGTACCCAGACACCGTAAATCCCCAAGTCTCCACAGAAATCAGCCTCAGCTTAAGTGAAAGATAAATTTAAAAGAAGCTGCAACTACTAATAAAGAAGAACGAAGCTTCCCTCTGTCTGACTCATCTCCAAATTTAGAAAAAAACTTTAACTTCAAACTAAGTCCAACCACAATCAATGTAGATTCACTTAAAGCAACAGATCTTGGTATTTCATGTCCTATACAAAAAAAAAAAAAAAAAAAAAAAAAAAAAAGGAGGAGGAGGAGGAAAGGAAAAAAACCCTGCCCACCACTGAAAAGAATTTAAACCAGGTCAACAAACATGGCAAAGGACACTGAACGTACTATGAAAATCACCTCAAATTCACTTTCTAAATCAATAAAAACTTTAACTGGTAAGTCGATTATCTCCTTTCTCTCAATAGAGTAAGTTTAACAAAGGCTAAATAAAACTAAAATGTATTTGTTCTTAACATGAACTTTAACACTAGTATGACAAAATAAGGTCTTGATCATAGGGATAGTGCCCCACATGCCCAGATAATGAGCAAAGTAATATTCTCCCACCAGTGACCAAAAATGTGTTCTCCTGCATTCTACAGGAGATTATCAGAATCCTCAAACAGAACCTTGAAGAATTAGAAATTAACAAACCTAATTCACTCATTTCAGTATTTCCACTTGTTTTGTATGCTGAATCTGCAAGAGATAGCAAGAAAATGATTAGAGCTTGAAAGGAAATGCATCATGTGGGTCTTTACCACAGGTTCGCCATCAAAATCTTAACAGATCTTTATCATTATAATACCTGATAGTCATACAAAAAACCAACCTAATTTTTTCTTAGAGAATATGACTGAGGAATAAAAATCTAATGTGAAGATAAACAAGTTTTCTTTTTGATTCCCATAATAAAGCATACTTACGGGCCAAAAAAAGCTGATAGTGAAGTAGCAATAGACTACTTGGAATGACTTTGCTAGTCTTCTTTCACAGTTATGAAATCAGTTTAAGGGTAACATTCTTTCAAGGTTTTGGATTAAAACAAATGTAATTGAGGCAGAGAAATTTTATTGCCCTGAGCTACAAAGCCTCAGTACTGAATTTTTTATTAGCCTTATACTAGGAAGAATAAAAAGTCCCTGACCCATTTAAAATTATCATGCTAACAAAAAGAATCACAGCAACACACAAGACAAGAAATACCTCTTAAAAAGGATGGGCAAGCCAGTCCTTCCTATACTTATATGAAAGTGTCACAATATATGTTAAATAAAAATAAAAACAAACACTATAAAGGTGTAACCCTGACTGGTGTGGCTCAGTGGGTTGGGCGTTGTCCTGCAAACTGAAAGGGTGCAGATTCAATTCCTAGCCAGGGCATGTGCCTGGGTTCTGGGCAAGGTCCACCCAGACACAAGTTCCGCTTGGGTGTGCAGGAAGGAACCATCCAATCAATGTTTTTCTCACATACCAGTTTTTCTTTCCCTCTCTTCCTCCCTCCCTTCCCCTCTCTCTAAAAATAAACAGAATCTTTTTAAAAGGTGCAAAAGAGTATTTATTGGATTAAAATTTGCGTTTAAAAAAAGAGGAAAAGGTCATTTATACATGAATTTTTTCTTCTATCTCCATAAAATATCTCCAGAGGAATACCTAAAAAACCAACAACACCGACTGCCCCGAAGAGACTGGGTGGGTAAAGAACAGATGGCGCAGGGAGTCTTTTCACGGTATATTTTTGGTAACTTTTGAACTCTGAGCTATATGAATACATGTACTACTGTACTTAAAAATAAAATTATGTTTATAAAAACGTTAAACCAACAAACAAAATAACTTCTTACCAGATCTTGAACTTCTTAGAGAGGGTCTACACAGGCTGCTGACTGAAATATCTTCACTCATCACTAATATAGGGGGGGAAAATATTTAAAAATATGTAAGATGCTCATTACACTAACTTATTATACAATCATCTATTAATTCAGAAAAAGGTTTCTCTGAGCTTTCCATTATGTTAAGTATAAGGATACACTCGTGAACTAGAGACAAGTTTCCTGCCATAAAAAATTTATTGACTTGATGGAAAAATTGGTAGTTTTTCTCAGCAGACTACATTTGTTTAAAAGGAAATACCAAATAAAACTTTCCTAAATTTCTCAATTAAGAACCAAAATCTGACACTATACATCTCAAATTAATATAATATTGAATGTCAATTGTAACTGAAAAAAAATCTTAATTAAAAAAAGAACCAAATTCCATTTTTAGTATACCCTTATTGTGGATTACTTACGCCATACTTTATTTCAGGGTTACCTCCCTGAGAGTTAATACACTCTTCCAAGAATGTAAATTCTAATTTTAAAGAAGATATTGGCCAATCTCATTAAATAAAATGTTAAGTGTTAGTCTAGAAATCCAAGGTGTGCTTTGTCAAAGAGCCTCACATAACACTCTAAACCCCAATATGTATCTAAATTTGGATTATAATTTCAGTTGTCTCTATAAAAAAGCCGTGTGTTTGGCTCCATATGAGAACTGCAAAAACCACACTGAACTGGCTATCACTGCCCCCTCCATTACATTGACTGCCTATGTTTTCACAAAACTCATTTAACCCAATTTCTCTGTTACAGTCTCTAGAAGTCCTGAAAGGACAGTCGTTCATTTGTCCAAAACATACTCACTGAACATGTTTTTTTATACATTTTAAAGAAGAAAACAAATGTACACTTTGTATATTTTAAAGATGAAAACAAATGTTTAAACTGATTTAGTGTAGCTCAAAAAGGCAGGACTAATATCAACAAGAAAAGTTGCAGGAAAGTACCTTTTATTTCAATATTAAAAAATAAAATTATCAGTGTTATCTCCAAAACAGAGCAGATAGTGAGGGAATGATTTCCACATCATGAAGATGATCAATCCATTAAGGGATGACTTCCCTACATCTTCTAGCTCTAAGAGTCTACAAAACATCTCAGCTGCTAGCATTTTATACATCAGGTATTTAGAACTTAAATAATTAACTTTAAAAGTAAATCTGTTATTCTCATTACAACTACTATCCTCTTTTTCTCCTCTGTATTCCCACCCTTTTCAGGTTTAATGGAAAGCTAAAACTCAAACTTATCTATAGACATCGATTACTACTTCGGTCTCCATCTTTTCATTTAGGAAGCACTTCCTGTATATGCCACTATGTATACAGCCCTATGTAAGACACCTGAAAGAGAGTACCTACAGAAGGTATTAAAGGACCAATGATGTAGCTGTTTTTACTAGGTTGTTTTAGAAAGTGTCCTCTTGGTTTTTAGGTCTTTTTCTTAAGGGTATCATTGAATAAATTTCTCTCACACCACACCAGTGGCCTCGTATACAATTAAAGAATATACAATATTCAAATTCCAAGCTAAACTGAAAGCCTATGATTCTGTAAGAAGACAAAGGGCCTATCCTTAAACTAAACTTGTACTTAAAATGGTCCTCCATCGAAGAGTGACTCCTGTTTAGTAACTCTGCTGGACAGACTTTACAAACCTTTCTTCGTAACTCCCCAAACTCTCCTTTCATGAAGAGGCATGAGATGGGAGGGAGCACGCCAAGTGCTAGACACAGAAAAAAATTTAAAGCGCCTTTTAAAGGAAGAGAACCCTGAGTATCTCAAATCCCCCAAAGATGCACATAACCTGATTTCTAGTCATATTGTAAGCACAGTGTGCTATCATTATAGTCCGTGGGTTCCATCTATGTAATCTATGCATGGGTTCCATACTGAGAACTGTTTTGTTTTGGTTTTTTCCCATTTCCAATTATAGCATGAGATTATGGAGAAAAAGACATGTTTAAGCAAAATTTTATGAACTTCACATCTTTTGTAAAGTGCAATGAGAAGGGGAAAAAGAACCCCTTGTATTTCTAAGTTTTATTGTATGCAAAGTGATTCTGCATGTACTGTATCATTTCTGCTGTGGCCTTGTGAGTTAGGCACAGTAACTCACACAGATAAAAGCCTGAGGCTCAGGGGAGGTAAGTAACTCGACCAAGATCCAGGGTTCTTTTCACACATTCTGCAGCCATGTACCTCATTATCAATCCTTCAATACAGGCTTAATGTGAACTCGAAAACACTGTTCAAAGCATTCTACTACATTATATTTTTCAAGTGGTCTATAGGCTGCTGCTCAACAGTCTTCAGTACATCGATTCACTTAACTACGCATAAATTTTAAAAATAAGACATTATTCCTTCTCCATGTATAAAAGACATGCAATTAAATCTACTGTAAATAAAATTTCAGGAATATGCTTTTTCCAAATGGCCTGGAAAGTCTGAGTATAGCAGCAATTACTTAAAAGTATTTTTCTACAATAGTTTATAATCTTAGCACAGTCTACACTATTCAAGGAATTAAGCATAAAGGGAACTGAACTTGAACCAGATTTATTTTGATCTAAATTGAGAATAGAACAGTTCAAACTCTAAAGTATAATCTTTACAGAAGCAATGAATAAGAAAATAAATCAGGATTTGGGTTAAAAAAAAACAAATCCACAGATGATCAGTTTCAAAAGTTACAATCATTTGTTGTGGGATTGTCCCAATATAAAAAACAACAAACAAACTAAAAATAAATGTACCTAAAACAAAAGATACTGAGCATTAATAACTGAAGTGAATCCTTTCCCCTGCTTTTCAAAATAGTTAAAAAGTTTTAAAACTTAAATAGATGATCAAATGTAGCCTATTTCTATGTTACATTGATACTAAGATGCAAACATTCTTGTACTTCAACATCTCTGAAATTGGGATGCAGCACGCAATCTATGGCATATTACAAGTAAGCAGCATTTTTTCCTTCTAGGTGGGACATAAAACACATGGTGGTGTGTCTGAAGATGATCATATTATAGAGTTGATGAAATGTATCAAACTGACAAGACTTACCATATTGTATCATGATTTTACTACGCAGACCATTTAATCCATTTTAAATGAAAGGTAGATAAGGTACTTACCCACCTGAATTACTGGGTAGCTAATTATTACATGGGAGAGCGACAGTGAGGTACTTGGGGAAAACGAAAGGGCTTTGTGACAGTTACATGATTGACTTAACATATATGAAGTGGCTAGTACTTAGCAGGTACTTAAGTACATACTGTCCTTTCTTGACCCACTGCTTAATTCAATAAAATACCTATTAAGAACATTCCCTAAAACTGAATATGGTATGATTTGGGACTCTTGATAAACCAGACTCTTATCTGTATATAAAAAAAGTTGGCAGGTAAGGAAAGAAAACAAAATCACTCTTCTCACCTGGAGTCTCTAGTGTTTTCGTCATAGATCTCTTTGAGACTGTTTGGCTTAAAACAGTTTGCGGAGATGGTTCATTCTCTAAAGAACAGATATGACAATTGTCAAAAGTCAGATATATGAGCTGGGTAAAGATTATGCATACTGACAGCAATATATGAGCAGAAATGAAAGTAATTAATTCCTTTAGAAATGTGTGAAATTAGGTTTACCAAAACTTACAGATTGAGTCAGAACTACTCTTAACATGAAAAAATAAACTACTCCCCACTGATGTTTTACAACAAGAGTATATTGCCTTAAAAAATTTAAAATATGGGCTAGAACAGCGATTTTCAACCACTATGCCACCGGAATTTTTAAAACATGCAATACCTCACTATGTAGTCAGGGGCACAGATCTCTTTTCCTTTAGATTGTCAAATAAAAAAATGACAACAGCCACACATTAAGAGCCACCTGGTATGAATGAATCAAAACTAACTTTTTTTTTTTTTGTCAGATTGGCAAAATAAATGGTATTTCTTTGGTGTGCTGCAGAATTTTGGCAAATAGTTTATGTGTGCCATGAGATGAAAAAGGTTGAAAATCACTGAGCTAGAGTGTTATAAAGGATTTGGAAGAATGCAGAAGAGTGAAAAATGTTTAGATCCTTACAGATAATATTAAAATACAGGTAAATCCTTTACATGTTAAAAAATTAACTTACATAACTGCATTAGGCTCTGTGAAAGAGTCAATACCATTGAACATATTTAATGTTAAATAAAAATATGTGCAAAGCATTCTTCCAGATATTGAAAGAGACACAGAATTAACATAAGTATTCAAATATAACATGTTCCTTCAAATATATATCATAGGTCAGAAGTGTTATAATCTTAAAAGATAAAACTTACAGAGTGGGGCTTCCAAGACACATAATTAAAATGTCAAAGGTTAAGAGACTATCTTAAAAGAAGCAAGAGAAAAGCAGTTAGTTACCTAAAGGGGAGTTCCCAGGAGCCAATTTCTCAAAAGAAACTTTGCAGGCTAGGAGGGATGGGCAAGAAATGTTTCAAGTCACTAACAGCAGGGATCTACCACTAAAATTGCTCTACCCGGCAAAACTCTTATTTAGAATTGAAGGGTAGATTAAAGAGCTTCCGAGACAAGAAAAAACTAAAGGAGTTCATCATCACCAAACCATTATATGGAATGTTGGAGACTTGTTTAAGAAAAAGAAGGTGAAAACTATGAACAATAGAATGGCAAAAAAAATACATTATCTATCAATAATTGAATCTAAAAAACTAAGCAAACAAGAACAGACAGAATCATGAGTATGGAGAGCATTTCGATGGTGGCCTGATGGGAGGCGGGTGTGGGGGAATGAGTGAACAGATGAGGGGATTAAGAAGTACAAATAGGTAGTTACAGAAGAGCCGTGGGGATATAAAGTACAGTATAGGAAATGGAGTAGCCAAAGAACCTATACGCATGACCCACAGAAATGAAATATGGTGGGGGGACAGCCTGAGGGACTGGGGGGTGCTGGGCGGAGGGGGGCACAGGGGGAAAAAGCAGGACAACTGTAATAGCATAATCAAAACATAATTTAAAAAACAGGGCGGGACAAAAGTAGATTTACTGTTGTGAGTATGCAAAACAGTTTATTCTTATATTCTTATTTATTAAATACTGTATTATTTTCCATACAAATAACTATCTTGGGTGACGACACCCTATAGTAACTTACATATCTTTAACAAAGTTTCCAAATGTGCAGGCTATTACTCTGCTCTAAACTGAAAATCCGTGTTCTCTTCACATCCATCAATGGTCTAACTATGTAATCCCATTGTGATTCAAATCTCCTGGTTCTTACCTCTTAGGTGCCTTCCAAGGGGCTGACGTGAAACGTCCCTGTGACGGTTAGGTGGGGGCTGGGGAGCAAGGGAGGTTGGATTACGGGAGTTCATTCACCTGTGACTCACGTAAAACTTTCCTCTCATCTTGTCAGTATACTTTTGGCCCATTTAGATGAAAACCAACTAAGAGTCTTGTTTTGGTGTGCTACTTAACCAATGAAATTACACCAAGGGCCCCCAACGTGGCGAATTTTGGGCACAGACCACCACAGTTGAGAGAGAGCAATCAGCTCAGGTCTGTCAGACACCGGGGCTTCAAGTTCAGGATAACTGACACCCCATTTCGGTGCATGCATTTGGGTGCGGTCTCAAGTCAGTTCACCAACTACGCTATCCCACAAAACGCTCACTCACAAATTTCCTCCCTCTCTCCCCACGTGGATAGTGATGGATAAAGGCTGGAAGGTTAGATTTGAACCATAATTCACAACTGGGGAACTTTGGCCTCTTGAGAATTAAATGAGGAAATGGAAGTAGCTTCAACAGAAAAAGATGCAGGACAGAGTGAACCGAAATGAAACCGAAATGAAACCCAGCCTGGAGTGACCCGCCTGCCGTCTAACTCGCCGTCCCTGCAGAAGCAGGCAATCCTGACACCCCTAAACGGATGTCCTGGGGTGCGCAGAGCACAACTGCCTTTTCAGTCCTCCCACCTGTGCCTCTCTCCCACCAGCGGGTGGGGGTAGACACGACGAGGGGACGCACTTCAAGCGCGCGGAGAAGCCACCCGAAAGCCAGCAGGGATGAACTCGGAGGAGACACCAGCAGGTTGCGCTCGCTCCCGGGCTTGCGGGAGCGTTACCTCCGTTACTCTCACCTTCAGAGGAATGAGAGTCCCGTATCCCTCTCCGGGTCATAACTGGTGATGGCTGTAGCAAAGGCTGCTGTGAATGCTGTTGCTCAAGGCGGACAGCCCTTCGCGTCTTCATCTCGCCGGCTTCCTGGAGTCGCGGCTGCCTCCGCTGCCGAGACCGGAGGTTATAGGCGCTTTCTCTCACTTCCTCTTTTCCATAATGGGGACGGAACTCTTCCATCTGGACTCGTTTTCCCATCGGGGATTTTTCTTTGGACACCTGGGGCTCCAAGCCATCGTACACTTCCGGCGGATCTTCCGAAAACCTCACTTCCCGCCGGGCGTGGCGCGACGGCGAAGGAATTTCGTAGGCTGGCGCGTCACTGCCGCCGCCATTTTGAGGGGCGAGCCGGCGCCTTCCCTCCCGCAGCGGGGGCCTGGGTGTGACGTACCAGCCCCATCCTTCTATCACCGGCTCTGCCCTCCGCCCCTCGCCCGCCATAGCTGTTGTCGTAACTAGAGTTTATCACCAAGATGATCTGGGGGGGCCCTAGAGTCACTTGCCGTTAGTGGCGATGGCTTTTCGGGGTTCTAGGCGGTGGTCGCGGTGGTCAGGGGGGCAGTTGAGAGTCGCTGGGGCTGCCACCTGCGTCGTCGCTGCTGTGCTGCAAACCCGCCTCTGGGCCCATGGTGTGTCCGAGGGCTGTGAGAGAGGCAGTGCCTGCGCTGGGTCAGCTGCTGTGGGTCACTCCCGCCTCCTGGCCGAAGGCACCAAAGAGGAGGAGAAGAGGGAGGAAGGCGTCGCAGTCTTCGGCTTTGGGGGAAGGAGGGGAGGGGACGGTGGAGAAGGGACAGCTGGCTGGGCAAATTGCGTGTCCTGAACCCAGCTGCTCGTGGCAACTGTTGCCCGCACGCGGGAGCCGCCCGTGCTGGCTCCCAGGGTGTCTGGAAAGGCGGAGGGAGCGAGACATTTCGGTCCTCATCCCCAGTTTGTTGCGCAGTTTTCCTGAGACCTGTTTGACCGACTGTTCCCTTAGCCAAGCCCAGCACTGTCCCTAGCAGGAATAATGATGGTAACGGTATTTTTGCAGGTGTCATCTTTTCTTGGAGAACATTTTGGTTTCAGGCTCCTTATGAGAGCAGTTAAATTTTAAGTCACCTGTTGAGAGTGTACAAAATCGAAACTGCAGGCATACTCGGGTGTCTACACTTGCGAAACGTACGCGCAGCAGCAAAAGTGGGCATTCCTGGCTTTTGTAGAGAAGCAGTGTCCAGCAGCACTCTCCCGGAACCTTATTATTGTTGTGTTATGGACAAAGAGAAACGAACAAGTACATTGATTAAAGATAGCTGTAATTTTAAGTTGTGATCCGTTATTTTTCCTTTGATTCTGGCAATGACTTGATATACTGCATTTGATTTAGGGTTTTCTGCATTTAGTTTGCTGAATAAGAAGGCATGAATAAAAGCACTGTTTATTTCATATCCACATACCATACTTATGGAGATAGATAATCTGAAAACATCTAACCGAATTTACATAGACTGAAGCAAGGGGAATTGAATTAGTGTGAAATCTAAATATTGAAAGTGTTACCTTCAAAATATAAAGTTGTCTTCTTCGTTTTCTTACAATTGATTTTAATGAATAGATTTTTGAAATTGTAATTAGGATGCAAATTATAATGATGACTTGAAAATTTTGAAGGTATTGTTTATCAAGTATTTTAAACCACTGTACAATGCTTTTGAGCAACTCATTTGTTCAGACTGGACACAAATTTCAATTTAATGAAATAAAATGTACTACGTTTTCACTTTGGCCACAGACACAAGGAATTACATGCTTTACCGAGTCACCTAGGTTTTAGCCTGTTCAGTTTTGTTTACTACGTACAATATAGCTAAAGAAACTGGAGGGACAGTCACAAGGGAGATGCTACTTAAAAAGAAAAACCTTTTAAGGGAAAATTAAAAGCATATTCTCTGCTGTCAGGCTGGGTTAGATTGTATGTTCGGAAAATGTGGAGACTTCTTTTCTGACAAAATGCTGAAAAGTATTGGTACTTAGTTAATACCTGGCTTTTATTTGTTTTAAGTAATGTTTTCTCTATAAGGTAACTATTATATTACTCATTATATAATAGTATAAGATCTGTAATGTAATTATTAAAGGATATAAAACTTTAAAGCATTAATACACAACATTCATATTATGAACATCAATGCATATATTAAAAGCCTCTTGAAAACATTGACCAGGACAGGCAACTTGTGGATATAGACTTGTAAAACTTAGGTTTGGGGAACATACTGAAAAGAGAAGGGACAAGAGGTTATACATACTATTGACTAATCAGTGCATGTGTTATTTTGTCATTAAAAATGCTTGTAAAAGCTTAGGAATGGCTTCCCAAAGAAATGAATCATGGGAATCAACAGTAAAATCAGATGCATGGTAACTGTAACATGAACACATAATTGCCTAGGATTTTCCCTATTCCATCTAAGTAATAAGAATACATAATCCTAGCACTGCCACATCTGCCCCCTGCACCTAGCAACCTGACAAATTCCCACTTCCATCCTAACTGTGAGGAAAAGCTAGGCAAGTCACATGTTCTGCTGTGGATGTTTTCCACACTACAGGTGTGCCCAACACAGGTGACATTACAGAGACAGTAGACTCATGGCCAATATCAAAAGGGAATTGCTGGGCCACCAAGAGGAGGCATGAGCTCTGGGTATTAGACAATTACTTTGGGAATTTTAAATATGTGGAGTGATTTAGTGAATCAAAGGAGAAAACAGGTAAGGGGGGAAAATGATTATAACAATATAAAGGGGTGGGCAAAAGTAGGTTTCCATTTTGTATGGAAAGACATTTAGGTTAGGATGATTACAATAGTTTCAGTACTGCAACAGAATGTCACGATGGCACAGTGCACTTAGGTGCAATTTTATAAGTGCTCAAATTGCCCGCCTTCATTATTTACAGATTCTTGTAGTCTTTGAAAATCAGCGAACAAACTTGAATTTCGGTGACTTGCTTGGGTTAGCCCCACTGCCTCCTGAGGCGGCTGAATTCAAACCTACTTCTGCCCATCTCATATTCATTAATGCCTAGTTATTTAGTTTAATAACTAAAAATTAATGAATTAAATTAATGTATTTCTTATCGTTAGGGTATTAGGAAAGACAAAATTATAATTTAGATTAAATGACTGGCATTAATATGTATACTTAGCTGTTAGTCCTAAGTCTACAAACCTAGTGTTCTTGACACTGGATTTCTAAATAAAGCAGCCATTTTATTCTAAAAAACATTTTATTAATTGATTTTAAGAGATGGGGGGAGAGAGATCAATTTGTTTTTCCACTTTATGCATTCATTGATTCTTGTATGTGCCCTGACTGGGGAGTAAAACCGAAATCTTGGCATATCAGGACAATGTGCTGACCAACTGAGCTGCTAAGCCAGGGGTAAAGCAGCTATTTAAAATGAAACAATTTTCATTTAACAATTTTTATTAATTTTAAATAATTATATATGATATTCACATTTGTGCTCAGATAAGCAAATAACTTTGAGGCCATAACTTAGTACAATAGACGTAACATTGTTATTTTTGATAAGGAAATAGTTAAAATATTAAACGAGGAAGAAAATTAAAGACATGATTTCCATTTACTCATTCTTACAAATGATAAAATAAAGACAATACAAATGAAAATGTCTAGTGGGAAATATTACACTGAAATTAAGAAAATTTAAATCCAGTGAAGTGAATGGACTGTAATATTCTTCTGTTTATTCTTTGTTGAGTTAGAAATCGAAGTCAATTATCAAACAGCACCTAAGAGTGTTCTTAAATCCTGTGACTTCTGCCAAAAGAGGATGATTGACAGGTGAAGATACCAAACAGATCACTGTTCCATATAGAGTCATTATTCCAATAAATATTTGAGCCTCTGTGTGCTAGCCAGATCCTGTTGTAGGTGGTGGGGATCCAGCAGTGAAAGAGCACAGAAAAGACAGCCCTCCCTGCCTACTTTTGCCCACCTCACACCCATTCCTAGTTATTTAATAACTAAAAATTTGAATTAAATTAACGAGTGTATTTCTTATCCTTAGGGTATTAGGGGAGACATCTATAAAAATTACAATTTATATTAAATGACTGGCATTAATGTGCATACGTAGCTGTTAGTCCTAAGTCTACAAACATGGTGTTCTTAACACTGGATTTCTAAATAAATGGAGTTTATATTCTTTGGAAGTCAGATAAAAATCAAAATAACTAAAATAGTGTGTTACAGTGTTTTAGGGAAAAAATGAAGTACAGGGAAGTGAGATTTACATGAACAGATTTCTTCTATGTTGTTTTGAATTGTCGTAGGTCAGAAACAGGAGTTTTAGACTTAACAGTTGGCCCTTGAACAGGGAGGGGCTTAGGGCCCCTGATCCCAGCACAGTGGAAAAAACTACAGTCTTCCTTCCCTATGCAAGGAGGATTGGTTGCAGGAACGCTGCCCATCCCAAAACGCATGCATGGGCAACTTCATTCTGCAATGTGGCACAGAACAGTGCATACAGTCTGTCTTCTGCCTGCGTGGATTCGGAAGGAGAGGGAAAGTCCTGTTTTCCATTTGCAGTTGGTTGATTCTGCGGAGGCCAAACTCCACAGAACGTGTATTTATTGGGGAGAAAATCTGAGTATCAGTGGACCGGCACAGTTCAAACTTGTGTTGTGCCAGTCAAATGTACTTGACTTTGCCCCTATCCTATTATGTGTTCTTGGGTAAATTACTCTCCATTTTTCAATTTTCACATTTATAAAATCAATAGATCCATATAGTAGCTATTTTGATTCATCATTTGCTACTGTCATTTAGCAGACACCGTTACTACATAAGCTCTTTTGCTCACAACAACCCCATTGGACAGCAGCAAACTGAGTTTGACAACACGCACCTCGCACCTCCTAAGGGTAGAGGCTGGGTTCAAGTCAAGTCTGACTGGTGCTGGCCTGTATCATTGGGTAGCGCCTCTCACTGCGTTGGCTTCATGGGTTCTTCCAGCCCCTAAATTAGGGGTCATTATAAGAATCAGGGTCATCTTGCAGAGAAATGCCTGCCTTCCCGGTCGAGGATCATCACGAGAATGTGGGAACGTCTGCATTTCTGTTGCGCGCGCTCACCACTGCCTGGCGCTGGCGGCTCGCTGGGCAGCGGAGAGCGGGGCGGGGTGGGGGGCGGGGGTGTACACTGCGGGGGCGGGGCAGGGCGACTACCAGTCCCAGCATTCCGCGGGCGCCTCCCCTCCCAGCAGAGGTCATCGTCACGTGGACCGGGACTGGGCGACATTCTCTTCGGCCCGCGTCCGAGGGGTGCCGCCTGGTTTCGTGGACCCGAACACTAGAAGTGCTCCTCTGACATTGACCGTAGAAGATTTAAAACTCCGCTGGAATTGGTAAGTCTCTCAAACACCTGTACAACTTTTCCATGTTTTAATATTCGATCTGATGTCTTTTTGAAAAATCTTTCAGAAACGATCTCTCCCCACCCCCACCTGCCTACCACAAAAAACGTTAAAACAGGCTGGTAGGGGGTATTTTTGTGTTGCAGTAGAAAGAAAGAAAGAGAAACAATCTTACTAAATAGGGTAAGGTGGGGTTAAATGTTTGCTTTGGACTTTGAGAGAGAAGCAGAATTCCTGTAAGGCTCAAAATGTAAAGGGGAAATGTGCCTGTGCAGGGTAATTACTCCCTTTACTTACGTACCTAAAATCCCATCTTTTGTCATCTTAATCCTTA